GTAAGTGTTCAAATGTTGTTAAAGAAGAAGCTCTTATTTTTCTTTGCTATTAAGCATTGGAAACCTTCAGGACAGGTACAAGATCTTCCCCTAAGAGGAGTTCATTTCTGCACAAACGAGACAGGCTTTGAAGCAGAAAACAATAAACAGAGAATGATGTTCTGTACTAACCGCCAGAGCGAGCCTGTAAAAAATCTTCGCCACCCGGGCAAAGTCTGAAGTCTCCAAATCTGCATCTCCCCCAATGAAAATCAACCTGAACCGACATCACATGGCAAATAATGTAATCTATTTAGACACAAATTTCAGTTGCCAACACATTTAAATCAATATACAGTAGCTCACCCGTTTATCTTCATGAAAATCTTCTCATATTCAGATGTAGTCAAAGTTAATCTGTGCAGGGAAACAAAAAACAATGAGCGTTGTACTATTTTCCATTGTTCAGACTACACAATGGTGAGCTCACACAGGGGGGTCAACTTCTTCTTCTTCCACAAAATGTCAGCAACAACGTAAACATTAGGCGAGTTAACATTCACCTAACGTTGAACGCTGATGCAAAGTCACCAAACTCCAATGACTCAAAATGAGTCTCCTTAAAAAAAACCCTCTCTCTGTTTTTAATATGCAGATTTAAAGACACTGTTGTTTTGAGTGAGGTTTAATAGGCATAATGAGCTCTAAATACACCCAGTTCTTTCCTTTTCATTGGAGCCAACAGAACAGACTTCTTTAAAAGCTCATCTTTACTCTTAAATGACTCAACCCACCTTATAGGCATCACTCTGCTGCCCCCAGACTCGATGTATTTCACGTAAGAGGAAGGTATGTAAGTCCTCCCAAATGGTTTCATAATTTCATCTGTAACAACCTGAGTTAAAACACCTGTGGAACAAAAATCACAGCAGCTCTGATTGAACAGTCAACAGGGACACAGCTACAGAAGTGATTCGCTCTGCTTTCTAAAGATGTGCATCTCTGTGAGTGAAATACCAAATATAAAGTCCTGATGGTGTATTTTACTCACCTATCACAGATCTGTCATTCACAGCCTCGTTGTTGAGTTTAGTCGGCAAAGCTCTGCTGCAGCAGAGGCAGCAGGCAAAAAACAAGCACAGATAGGTCGAAACTCCTGTGTTAAACATGTTTTTGGTCACCAGCTTAGTTCAGCAGAGCAGTCTTCTTTTACAAAGCTGTCAGAGCTGTGGATAATGAAAGCAGCCGACTTGTATAAGTCGTGTTAGAACAGGATATAGTCAGTTCAGGGAAGTGAGGAATGCCCAGATTTACATGTGACAACTCCTGTACCGCACATGCTGGTCAAGCAACATGACTGCTGAGGTAAACAAAGGTTTTGCTGACAGCGCGGAGTTTTTGGCAACATTTTTGATAATTGAGTTTATTGGAAATTACGTAGCCTCATTGGTTTGTGCTGAGGTTTATAGTAGAGGACATGTGACCACTATAGCAGCCAGCTGCAGGTTCATGCATGGATAAAAACTGCTGTCAGACAAGTTTCTGTTCCAAAGTTAAAGTTTAAAAAGTTTAAAGGTGTTGCAGGCGTATTTTTCCAATAGTGCTGTTTAAATACAAGTTCCTCATAAGAGACCAAAATAACAATTCCCATGCATGACTGTCGCAACTTTTCTAATGCTTTATGTTAAAGTGGCAAAAACAACTGATTTTGTAACCGATACAGTTGATTCACAGATTGTGTAACACATGTTTTTTTTAACTTCAACCACTGATGAACACACATTCCTACCTTATATTATGCAGACAGATGGCTTATCGTTTAGGAAGAGGGTAAAAAAAAAAAGCAATTGGTGCTCCAAGGGTTTCTAATACAGCCCGCCCAAATTCTTGCGGGCATAAGGAAACACTGACATGAAGGCTGCTTGTGTAAATGGAAAAATTCAACATTCGGTTTAGGCAAACACACGTTATGCAACAACAAGATGTTATTGTAACCACCGAAGCTTAACATGCATTTAAATGCCATACATAATGTTTATGTAAAATGTCACTTAATGCTTTACTTTCATATTTTAAAGGACTAACCTGAATCACTAGGAAGGATTTGAGTCACCAAAACAACTGTGCACCATTTGAGCACTCCAGCCTTTCCACTCATGGAGGATTGATTGCATCCCGAGCTTTCTTCCAAATGGGCAAAAGTACAACAACTCCAAAAAAGGCATAGTTTGGTATAAACTGGACTCCGTGAGCAGAGTCAAGCAGATGTTTGCATGTCTTCATTAGAAAACGGAAAAGCAGGTTCTTGTAAGTGACTAGTTGCTTAACTGAGTTAACAGCCATGCTACTGGGAGCTCTGTCAGACAGGAGAGTGACTATTAGTGGAGTACCAGGTAAGTGGGAATGAGTATTGCTGTATTTGTAATTGATTGTAAAAGTCTAACATAAAAAGATGGCATGGAGGAGTTCAAAAGGAGTACTTGGTCAAAAGGACGCAGGCGGAGACCTTGTAAGTCATTCCACTTGCAGGTAGAAAATAAGAAAAACTGCCTGGAGGTGCTCACAGTCCACAGGAGTGTTTGACTTGGAGTTCAAAGGTTTCCTGGCAGCTAGAGGAGGAGCAGAAAATACCGGTTACACAAGGTAAGTGCAGGAAATTACTCAAAACCAAGGAGGCCTGACGGTCACCATGTCAGGACAATCTGAGAACTGTGGCACCCAACAGCCAAGCTCTTGATCACGCATAGAAAACAGCTGGGGGAACAACAACATGAGCCAGGGGCGGATCAGAGGGAAGATGCTAGCCCAGCTATTCCACCTGAGGCTAAGAACAGAGGTTAACAAATAATAAAAAATAAATAAATAGAAGTAAACCATGACAAAATCAGGATGCTATAAAATGTAAATAAAAACTGAACCCCCCCCCCCCAAAAGGTAAACTGAACATCAAGAGATTTTTGTTTCTAAAAAATAAAAGCTTATCAAGTTATCTTACTGTTACTAAATGTAAGGTATATATGTAAGGCAATACTTTCCTCAAAGAAATTGTGAAACATGATATTGTGTTGCTTGGTAGTCATGTCAACGAGTCACCCCTGATGGAAGCAAGCTTGTCAGATTTTGCTCTAGTATCTGTTGTCAGATCTGAAGACTCTTCATATCATTCAAAAGGTCTGAAGGGACGTTGTTGCCTGGAAAATATTTCTCCCTGTTAATGTATCCCATCAACAGATAGTCCAGGTATTCCTCATCAGTGTCATTCCAAATGTCACCATAGACATTTTTTTCAAGATTTGTCACACCAATGACAACTCTCTTTAGTGACATTGGCATAACCAGATCAAAACATGTTTTGGTGTCACTTATTCTTGTCACAGAAAACCTTGCAATCCCAGGGGTCATTTTGATTACATTTGTAGCAGTTGCCCTGCCATATAAGCCACAAGGTACTGGACTCCAAAAGATGGTACCGCTTTTGAATTTGTGTGTTACAGAAAGAGCAGCTTCAGTCCCCATGACCGCCTCAAAAGACCTCATATCATTGTCCTCTTCAGAAACCGGCTCATCCATATTTCTGTTTTGTGTCCTCTGCCTTTAGCAGAGAAAAATCTAAATTAAAATACAATTTTTAAAAGGCCGTTTTATGTTTTTAAAACCTAAAAACAAGTCTGTGCTGACCTCTACACAAGAGGAAGGTTAATCTGTCTCCAGTATATTCAGTTCAGTCGTCAGATAGCAACGAATTATGATAAATGATACACAGACATCAGATAACGTTTAGTGTTTCTGTTAAGCTGTTTTAATGGATGTACACTTAACAATTTATTCTACAGAACATATTAGAAAAAAACAAACTTTAAAAATTTCCTCACAGGATGCAGAGATCGAGTAAGAAAATGGAGTTAAAACCAAACTTAAGCTTACACATACCGATACGATTATTGGATTAGTAAACTGCAAGTCCTCAAACATCACATTTATATGTCCCACAGTGTTTGTCTTTTCAAAATACTGTACATTTATGGTAAAGACATTTGCTTCAGTCTCCAGGCAGATAACTTCAGATGCTACAGCTCGTTTATTCCAGGATATTCGCACAGCTAAATTTGGTCCTTTCAGTCACACATTAGTCTAATTGAGAGTGGTCCTAACATCCATGGGAGCAGTGATCTTCATCTTCAAATGGCAAATAAATAATACGCTGGTCAATTCAGTTTTTCTCTGAAAAGAAAATAGACAAAATGGTACAAACTTAAACTCAAATAATAAATATTTATTTATTATTCAAATTATGAATTGGCACAGTTAGGTCCTCGTGTTTTTGCTGGCTTATACAGAAAGCACTTCATATGATTCTTAATCTTAGAAATGATTTAAAACTAAAATTATTTAACTAAAAAAGTCTGGAAAACTTGTTTTTCAGAATAAGGAACAATCATGCATACCTGACACAGATTTTTGTGATCAGATGATTTTCTTATTGTATACATAAAACGTAGTAATCTAGTTTTAAAGTAGATAATATATTTCAAACAAAATAGCAAAACAATATCAAGCAGACAGACTTACCTCTGAGTCTTTGTATTTCCTGACAAAGATCTTTACACACAGCTGCCAGCAGCTCTTCTTTTGGCTTCAAACCATCCAGAAATACTGGGGGAAAAAGCCAAAATAAAAAAAAACCCACATCAGTGTCATTTATTTTATCACTCAGTGATAGTGCAGTTTGTTTGTTTTGTTTAATAATAATTTGTTCTAATCATCACACATGCATTTTTACCAAATTCTGATGTGTCGCTCTCGATCTCTTCTCGGTTTTTCAGGTACATTGGCCACACGTATCCGTCGAAGTAGCCGGGAGGATCAGGAGGTGTGTACACTCTTAAACTGTTGAAGACAGCAAAGAAGGTAGACACAGTTACTTTCTTTTTTTTTGCATTAAGCGATACAACAGAATAAAAGTGCACAAAAAATGTCAAAAACGTCATATAAATACTCTATAATTAAATAAATACCTTCGTCTCCTCTTGCAGGCATCATAAGGTATTTCCATGAAATATTTTTTGTCAAACAGTTCATCCAGAGGCCTGGAAGGGTAAAACATAATAAACCAGTAGAAATCTCCATCAGATAAACACAATTCACAAATTCTTCAGTATAAATTATTATTTCTATTTATATCTGTCAGTTTTTTTCTAGAAACAATAACACATTAATCAGTGCTGTATCTTTGCCTAACATTTAACGTAAGGCTCAATAATTGCTCCAAGTGATTTAAAAAAAAGAATTTCATAAAAACTGACATGAACAGCAAATTCCAGTATTATAAACAAAGTATTTAGTTACTTTCCAAAATATAAAGTCCTGGAAATCTTAAGCTTTAATTTGCTAAATTTATAACTGAAACACACATGATGTCCTTTTATTTAATCCTCATTTGTGTACCTGTAGTTGAAAATGAGGAAGCCTTCCACTATGAGCACGAACACCTGGTTATCGACTGATGGTTCTATAAGCTGGGTCTCCAGGCCTTGCTGTCTGAGGAACGACTCGGGATCTTTTCGCCAAGAGTCAACGTCCCTCATCATCATCTGCATGTGCAGAGCCTCGAGGACTTAAATAGACCAGTGAGCATGACTTTCTTTCACATTTTAAATGAAAAAAATTTAATAACTGAATGAATATTACACCCATTGTTTGGATACTTCTCCTTTATTTTCTGCCATTGTGGCTTTTTTTATATCTTTCAGACTGTTGATTGACAAAAAGTGATTTTTAAGGTGTCACCTTGAGTTCTGTGAAACATTTTTACCATTTAATTTTAATTTGATTGCAATGAATGGAGAAGAAAATCAGTGATACCCCACATTACAATACATTACAATACCCTGTATTTCTTTTTAAAAATGCTTAGAAATATTATTGTAGTCAACCAACCACGTTTCTATATTTTACATACATTTTTATGCAATTTTACAACATGTGAAGGATTTCTTAATGTCCTTACACTATTTTTCACAGTTATTCACCCTAATAGTGGTGCATATTAACATTTTCAGACTTTAAAAACTTCTCCAGTTTGATAAAACTTGGGAACTCGTGTATGAAAAAAAAAAAAAAACCACAGGTCATATTTTCAGATGGACAGATGAACTACAAATTCTGTAGTGATCATAAGTCTGGATATCAAAGATGAATGTAGCCATCAAGTCTGAAATGTGAAGCTGAAGGACAAATGCCATAAAACCTGCAACCTTTCTACTGACCAGTAGGGGGCGGTTTTTCTTGCTGCACAAAGAAGTCTAATTGTATAGAGGTCTATGAGAAAAAACAACCTATTTCTAGCTTTTATCACCACAGGTTTTTCCAATAATCTGTCCTAGATAAGTCTTATCTAATATGTTGTAATACGGTGTAAAGCAAATTGTCCTTACTGTCATATTGCTTGAACCCATTGCTGTCCATCGGCACCTCAGAGTCATCCTGAAGAAAGAAGCATATGTGATGCTTGCACCAAGGCTGGAAAAGTAGCAGTATGGCTTGAACACAGCCTCACAGTCTACCTTAAAATATGAATCCTGTGCAATGATGCAGCTGTTGGGTATTTGCTCTTGCAGACTTGAGGCAAGTGTAGTTTTTCCTCCATTGGTCATCCTAAAGGAAAAAGAACATACATTAACTAATGAACATGTACTTTTAACAGTAAATCTACAAAAATAGCCTTGATATTTTTTTTAATGTTTGCCTCTTTCATTTAACTAAACTCTCTGAAATTACAGTCAATACAGAAATGTTTATCTGTAAAATGTCCTGCTCAGCCAGTGTTTCCTTCCATTATCGAAATTACTGCAACTGACAAAGAGGTTTCTTGCCATCCATATGTTCATGAATAAATAACTGAATACGTTTTTGTAATTATTCTGATGCTCCTTTTTGTCTCTCCCTTTGTTTTGTCTCTTAATTTCTTTTCCACTTCCTGTTTTATTTGCCTTTCCTATCTTTTTTTCCACCTGCACCTTGTCATCACATATGACAGTTTTCCTGCCCTCTTTCTAGTTTCACCTTTGTCTAATCAGCCTTGTGTGTATATACACTCACTGGTCACTTTATTAGGTACACCTCCTTAAATGCTTGTGAATATCTAATCGGCCGATCATATGGTAAATGGTAAATGGCCTGTATTTGTATAGCGCTTTACTTAGTCCCTAAGGACCCCAAAGCGCTTTACACTACATTCAGTCATTCACCCATTCACACACACATTCACACACTGGTGATGGCAAGCTACAATGTAGCCACAGCTGGCCTGGGGCGCACTGACAGAGGCACATGGCAGCAACTCATTGCATTTATGCATGTAGACATGATGAAGATGACCTGAAATTAAACCTTGATTGGGGGAAAAAGATGATTTAAGTTTTTTTTAATGTGGCATGGTTGTTGAACCAGGTTGTTCAAAAACTGCTAATCTACTGGGATTTCTGGGTTTTAGAGCTGCAGAAGACCACAACAGGTGTCACCAACATCGGCTACATCAGCTACAATTCACACAATCTCACCAAAATTGAACAACAGAAGTTTGCAAAAATGTTGCTGGGTCTGATGAGTCTCAATTTCTGTTGCAATATTCAGACGGTACGGTCAGAATTTGGTGAAAACAACAAGAACTGTTCAGGCTGGTAGTGGCCACCAGAGTCCCTGGATCTGAATCT